CATACGCTCGCTCGCTCGCAGGACGGTCGCAAGCTACCATATACGGAAAAAACCTCTTGTCCTTGACTCTTTTGTGCTTTCGGCATTTTGAGTCATGGATCGGGAAAAAATTGATTTTGAGTATTTTCGGACCACATTGCACTGATATGAGATGATTTGGTATATCACTATTTTTGAGTGGACAATTTTTGAGGAATGAGAAATCCATGCTGAATTTCTCAGATTCAAAAAAATTTTTTGAGAAATTCCCGGCGAAAATGGTCAAATTCTCAGATTCAAAAATTCTCAAAAATATTCATGACCCCCCCCCCCCCCCTCTATAGAGGACTCATGACAGTTTGGTTTATGATCTGTTTTACTGGGCCGCGCTCAGCCTGTCATTCCGCCAAATCTTTATATGTTAATGAACATAATAGCCTGGGGTCCTCAGGTAATGATCTGTTTTGAAGTAACCATGAGGCCATCCTTTTAGCATTATTGGCAATTATTTTCATGTGGATAGTCCATTGGCCGTCTAGGGTTCTCAATGAGAAGCAATGTTGGAAATAAAATTGAAACGGAATCTTTATTAACACGAATTTTTATTTTAACAGTTGTCGAGGACGAGGTTATTAACAGTAATTGTTGAGGTTTTCTCTTTTAATCGTCGTTTTATTGTGGACTTTGTTTCATTATTTTCTATATTCAAGATAAAGAACGTAAAACTTCTTACTGTGTCACACATTCTGGTTAATATATTACTTTACGATTAATTTATTATTAACTTTCTTACCTTATCGCTCTTTACGACTCGCTATTGTGTCTTAATTCCTATTCTTAATAATGTACAGATCATACAATTAATTGTTCAGCTTATAGAATAGCAACATTATTTGTTCTTATCGGATATGGATTATTATTTATGTCGCATCCAACTGAATGGTAGATTATCATTCGTTAGCCTATCCAAAGTCGTAATATTTTATTGAATTACAAAATATGTCTTAGAATTACTAGTTCTCAGTCAATTGTTGTGTTACTTTATAAATGATAACTTTGTAGTCCGGACTGCAGTATCTAAAGGGTTTCTATTTTTAGTTTGAAGACACATCACGAGGTTGATAACATGAATATTGAATTCCTGATCCACACATGTTGCAGTTGGTAGTTTTGCAAGGATATAATTTTTGAATAACTTTTTATCCATTTGTCTAAACCGCTTGAGCTTCTTGGATACTACCCGCACGTGACCACGAGTACACTTGTATTTAGTAACTACACTTGTAATTATAGGTAAAACAGGGTGATGTGACGGAGTTGATTAGAGGTTCCTGCGTCACGTAATGACGAACCTCTAACGATGATCATTAACTTAAATTACGGAGCTTCCGTCGTGTTACCATTTTGTAGAACGCGTCGTACAAGTCAAACTCTCTTCCGCGGAGTTCATGTTACTTTCAATCCATCTTTGTCGGATGTTTTCCATTTTGGGAAACATCTATTTTTGTCATTTTTCGTGCCCTCAATTCACCTGATTTGTTCTGTATTCTGCGTAGGTAGAACCTGTTTGCTTGTATAGAGTATGTTTGTCTAATTTGTTAATAAAAAGCACTTAGAGTGCCCGAGAAAAGCTTGCCCCTAAATTTCATGTTTTTTTTTGTAATTAAATCGTATTTCTAGCCTCGATCAACCAGCTTTTCGTGACGGTGGTATAGTGGTCATACGAAAAGCTGCCCCTTAGATTTAAAGCTTTTAGTGTAATCTTTAAACGGCCAGCTTTTCGTTGCAGTTGTAAAGTGGCCATGCTTTGACGAACCATACCTCCGGACTTTCATTATGTTTTAAATTATAACCCAGCATGTTGTTATATTCCCAGTGGATCAATAGACTCCCGCGTGGTTTCGCCTGTTATTACTAATCTACTGAACTTTACATTATATACATTTACATATCACCGTCATCAAATTTTTTCGGTTTTATTGAATGTAAAGTTTACGCACAATGGATCGTACTAAGCTGTGCAACAGGAGAACATCATGTAATGCTCGTGTCTGGAATGCTGAATAGTCTACATGAGCTTGTGTCTGTCTTGATAACATTTCCCTTCTATTAGTGGAGATCAAACAGATTTAAACAATCCTGTGAATACTTACTGAGCAAATTTTAGTGAACTTAATCATTTGGGAGGAGGGGATGTCGTCGACATTTGCCATGACGCAAATAAGATTACTCATCTTAATAGAAGGCCAATGAGTTCCGAAACGTCGGGTATTTTCATCTAGTTTTACCAGTCCTTTGCATTGTTTTACTTTGTCTGTCGAGAGCCGTGATGCTTCCTACTAAACACTACTAAGATTGACAAAAACATTTAATTACCATTTTTGCCATATATTTCAGTTATCTTAATTCATCCCTGATATCTCCAAAAGTAAACAGCGAAATTGGCACTTACAGCCCCCTCGTAAAGGGAACTAGTCGCATTATACCATATTTGAACATGTCCCCTAGCAACTAGCAGTCCATTTGGCATGCAAGCTTCTGTGCCAACTAAATAAGTACAGCTGTTTTACCACCATAGTAGCTGTGAAACCTGCCTCGTGTTTTGCCACCTCGTGTTTTACATACTTTTATTTAGGCAACATTCCGTCGATATCCCTCCGATGATTTTACACCATACAACTCTAGTATTACAGTCCTAACTTCGCTTACATCCGGACCGGTATCACGTGCTACAGTGTCTAGGAATGTAAGGGGTCTCCGACCACAATAAGTTTGTTTTACCACCTCGTCACCTCGTGTTTTACCACCTCGTGTTTTACCACTTCGTGTTTTACCACCTCGTCACCTCGTGTTTTACCACTTCGTGTTTTACCACCATAGTAGCTCTATTAGACCTGCAACTTTACACTTGTGAACCCTTACATCTATATAACACTTTTTGCCTTCGTAAAGCTTTGTTTTGAGTTGACATATTTTGCAATTTAGTACTTTAAAATGTTCGCTTAACTCCACACTCAAAGCTCCATTATAACTTTTTGGCCACATGCCAAAGCTATGCGATTTCTTGAAAATCACAATTAGTTGTATAATGTATTAGGGCATGTACATTCCGTTAAAAATAGTACAGTTAAAAATAGTACAATAACACCAGACGACCCTGGAAAACAGCTATTCCAATAAACATGGCCGGTGTGCTACAGTGCTGCTACTTTAAGTTGTTTTAAGTGTTCTAAGTTATAACTATAAGTTCTTAAGTGTTACAACTTTAAATTGGCAACTCAGACGAGGACTTAAAAACAGTTAGCAACTGTGTATACACAACATGTTAAAATAGAATTTGCCAGAGTATGTGCTTTTCGACTGACAAGCTGGACATTTTAATTTGCTGTAGGTGTCGACGTTTTTATTCCCTATTTGCTACCCAACTTGTTCCATATTACCGGAGTGTTGAAGTATCGCTGTCTTTATCGCTGTCGTGTTTATTGATTATATAGATCACCAATTTGTTTTCTTATTACTTCGACGCTCGATCCAATTTTATGGCAATTTTATTGTGTCAAAAAATTCAGTAAAGTTATTTTTGTTTACCGTTTCATAATACATAAATAATTCGTACCCTCGCATGTTTGAAGATGTTATGTAACACTAAAAAAGGCTTCAATTCTATTTTTCCATTATTCGGCACATTTGCTGCGCCTCGTCCGTTTTACTTTTAGTCACCTATGCATATGTCAATGAGTTTCCGCCAATTTGCCAATGTTCTATTTCCAACTACTTAACAATACCGTAATTGCTATGTTTTTCGAGATTGTAATTTTTCTTGTTCGGGGTTTCGAATCTTTGAAATTTTTCTCTGCATTGCATCTCATGAACTAACATTCCTCTACTTTTTATTTATCCACTAATAATCATTAATGAAATCGTTCAAAAGCTCTCGACTCCTAATGTATCAATATTTTCAAGGATTACTGTGAATTTCCACGAACACCACCAATGAATCACCTACACCACATGGTCTATGCATTACCAACTTCCAGAACTACAGTACAAAACTCTTGAATAGTTCTGTAATACTCTCAAAAAGAAACCGCTGAAGTAAACCCGTCTCTTTTAAGTTCAGTGAAAGAGAAATTAAAAGAGAAAGCAAAAGAGAAACTGCTACGATGTGAAGATGAAGCGCCGAGATGAGCTCGTTCAGTGAGTTGCTGGATGGCATCCCTCTGGAAACAGTGGATGAAGTGGTGAATATCTGTGAGAGGTTCAATGAGGATGTTACCACTCGATTTGGGGACATCACGTGTGCTTATCAGGGGGAGGATGAGGATGAGATTGATAATGATTTCTTTTATGATGACATCACTGATATCATAGGAAAGGAGCTTATTGTTAAGGAAATAACACCTACTAAACCAACCGATGTTGTAAATAGTGCTAACGCATACAACCTGATGCGCATGCGGTTAGCACGCAAAGCATTTGGCAGGCAAAACTCTTGGCACGGGCCAACATCCAGCCCTGGGGACAAGAGGAGAAAACGCCACCGGTCTTGTAACGAGGTGGAACTAGTCCAGAACAAGACCAGTAACAAGACGGGTAATATTAGTAACGGTAATATGAGTAGCTCGGGTAGCACCGGTACCAGTGGAAGAGATAGTAACACCAGCAGTTTCCAGAGTTCTAAACTTAGGTCACCACTCGTTTACGACTCTATCTCCAACGACTCCGGCTGTTCCATGGGGTCCAAAACCGCAAGTTATCCTAATAAAGCTCTTATACTCCGATCAGACTCTCTCGACAGCTATGGTTCTGTCTTTAGTGATCCTCCATTCAGTACGCCTCCATACAGCCCAGACGTTAACGGCACGCCCTCATTCTGCACGGTGTACAAGTTAACTTACACACATACCCAACAGTCGCTACGGTACGCTTCTCCGCATACGTTTCAATATGGGCTAGTTGCCATGGTAACGGACGCGACGTCTTATTATCGTGCAGACGTGGTAACGTGTTATTTTGTTCAGGGTAGCGAGTTAGAGCTGAAGGATAGCTATGGGAACTCACAATCAGAAGCCCAGAGAGGTGAGTCTTTAAAATGGGGTTGTATTTCTAGTTTTTCTTGTCGTAGAATGTAGAAGCAGGGAGAAGACCTGAAAAACGGTTAAGGCCAGAGGGGGGGGGGGGGGGTAAAAGTCGATTTTCCAGTTTTCACATATTTGATCAGAGCTGCTGGAGACGAACAAGAAGAAAAAAACCGGATCGAAATCTGACCTTGCGTTTTTAAGATATCGCGCGCCAAATATTGAGGTTTACACTTTACATGTAATTACATGTAAAACTTTAACTTAAACTGTAAAAAGTTAAACATCCCTTAGTTGAGAATACTGGCCACACCCAGAAGCTGAAACTTGGCACAGTTGTTCCTTGGGCTGTCACCCACAATTCTATTGCACAGAATTTTGATATTTGCCTCTGTTCTCGAGATATGAGGTTAACTTTACCCCATTTTTCGAAAAATGTCGAATTTGGGGTAAAGTTAACCTCATATCTCGAGAACAGAGGCAAATATCAAAATTCCGTGCAATAGAATTGTGGGTGACAGCCCAAGGAACAACTGTGCCAAGTTTCAGCTTCTGGATGTGGCCAGTATTCTCAACTAAGGGACTTTTAACTTTTTACAGTTTAAGTTAAAGTTTTACATGTAATTACACGTAAACCTCAATATTTGGCACGCGATAGCTTAAAAACGCAAGGTCAGATTTCGATCCGGTTTTTTTCTTCTTGTTCGTCTCCAGCAGCTTTGATCAAATATGTGAAAACTGGAACATCGACTTTTACCCCCCCCCCCCCCCCCCCCCCTCTGGCCTTAAATCACAATATCATGACTATTGACCAGCAATAAATATAAAACCCTCATAAAAACCAGCTGCCTCTAGTAAATGTTGTTATTTTAGTGGACAGGGTGAACAGTTCTTTTAAATTCTTGCACCTTATTTCTAAATTCTGTTAATTCCAGTGGCCCAGCTGCAAGCTCAGCAGCAGCAGAGAGAGCGGGATCAGCAGCAGAGAGAGATCCAACTTCAAAGAGAACGTGAGCTCCAAGCTCAACGGGACCGGGAACAGCAAGCCCAGATCCAAGCTCAACGGGAGAGAGATATACAAGCACAACGAGACAGAGAACTTGCTGCACAACGCGAGAGGGAAATTGCTGCACAACGCGAGAGAGACCAGGCAGCTCAGCGGGAAAGAGAGGCTGCAGTGCAGCGGGAACGGGACGTGGCTTCACAGAGAGAATTACAGATACAGGTTCAGAGGGAACGAGAGATTCAGCAGCATCAACAGCAGGCTCAGTCAAGACAGGTGAGAAGTACAGCCGACTCAACAGGTTTTTCAGAGTTGTTACTTTATATTAGCAATCAACAACTGGCATTATCACACTCAATGAACTGTTACTATTTACTATTATATTGCAACTGTTACTATAGCAACCGTTTCAAGTCTTTCGCGTGTTTTTAATTTGGAATTTTACTACAGTTCTGACGCTCGATCAACTTATTAAAAAAGATCAATTTTCAAAAGTGCTATATCATAATATTCTAAAAAACGACCAATCGCAGCTGAATCAGGGTCTAGATTTTGACCAAGTCTCAACCAAATCAGAGCACGACAGTGGAACCAACACTCCCCGTGCCAGAACGTCTCCATCCCTCTCCGGCTCTCTTATCAGGTCCGTTATTATAACTGGAACCAGCAATAGCAGCAAATCTGGGGAAACTTTGAAATACACCAATTTGAAGCATTTAACCCCCCCTTAAAAATCAAAGATTATGAATTTTAGTAATCTGATTATTTACATAGGTCCAAAAATGTCATAGCTTCATGATAGTGCAACGAAAAAAATCTCAGAACATTTTGGTGCTGAGTTAGGTGGTTAAGTAGTCGAAAAATGACTGATTTGTTAGTGGACATTTTTTATACCTCTAACACCCAAACCCTTACTACAGTGAAGATATAAGTACTACAGTTAATATTGATGGTCATTATTGAACAAAAATGGTTCATTGACACATAGTTGAAGAAGGAAATTAAAAAAATTAATAAATGTGGTCTGTGGAGTGGTTTATTTGTTTATGTTATAGTGTACGCGTGCGCGCGCTAGCGCGTACTTAACCATCTGTAGGCCAACATATTTAGTCTAGGCTTAAATTCTTTATATATTATGTCACCACTATGGTGCCCAATACTTTTAGTGAAGGTTTGATGTAGAACAGTTAACCACCAACTGTGGTATATCAAAAAAACCATGTTTGTACGCGTGCGCGCGCGCTAGCGCGTACTTAACCACCTGGTATGGCACAGCATTGAAATATCACCATAATTTCAAAAGCAGAGGTCACCATTCAGGTGCCCAAAACTTTTGACTATGGTCCCAATACCATAAAACCTTAGATGTGGCCTCAATGTGGTTAAAACATGTTTATTTTGGACTTTCGGTCAACAGAAGCCATCACAAATTAACCATTATTCAGCAACCTCCGAACTTTTTGTGCCTTATTTTGTTTTGATATTTGATTATGAGAGATAGCTGGAGGATAATAAGTGATTTTAAAGATAATGCAACAAAATGTGTGGCCGTATGGTGGTTAAAACGACCAAAAACACTGATTTTGGTCAATTTTAGACCTTTATTAACCATGATGGACGCAACATAGGACTCAGCAATGTTTCTGGTCATATAAATGAGCAGGTAGTTATATCTAGATAATGTAGCATGGCCAGCTATAGCTTTACAAAGCTAATATGTGCTCTAAAAATGGTTAATTAGTGCAAATATAGGGTATTTTCGAGACATTTTAACCACCTTAGCTGCACATTGATCGGAATGCATGAACTTGGGGTCAATTATGCATTTGCAAACAAATATACACTCATTTGGATAGCAAACCATTATCTGAAGTTCATATTGTGGTTAATTTTCACTTTAATAGATGCCTTGTTCAACAGCCTAGCAAGTAATATAGCCCTTTTAACCACTTTTATGACAACATTTCTTGAAAAATTTTATCAAGACCCTTCAAATGTCCTTTGTTGACCATAAAATGTCGACTAAAATCATTAATAATGTTTTGATTGGTGGTTAACAACAAATTTTGACATTTTAACCATCTTTCTAGCACTTTTTACGAATATTAACCACCTCCAATCAACCATACTATTAAATTGCACATTTGTGATAAAAAATTATCATCCATGCACAAATGAACAACCACCACTATACATCTATAATCGGAGCAATATTTATAGCTCACCGTTCATCTTCAATTTAACCACCATTAGGACCACAAAATGCCCCCCATGAGGTTTGAAAACTTTTGTGATAGTTGCACCATGATATGATCTCAATATAATGACTACTCAGTTCATAATATCATATCTCAAAATGGTGGTTAACCCTAAAACTGGTATTTTAACCACCATAGTGGCCACATAGATGACCCATTAACCACAATTATTCAACATAACCGTACTGTTGTGTTTTGTGCACCAGAAAAACATCACTCCAACATTGAGATTAACCACAATGAGCTGCAACATAATGTTGAAGTCAACATACTCAAATTGTGTGAAAAAAGTCAATGTCCACCAAGTTTCCCCAGATTTGCTGCTATTGCTGGAACGTGAGTCCGGAACGTGAGTCTACGACAACTTCTCACGTCTCTTAAGTTTTAAAATCGTAGACAGTGGTGATGTTATGCCGAATTTCTTGAGTGAGTTACCAGTGAAATTTGAGTTCAATAAACGTAAAAGTCATTTTAAACGAAGCTAAAATGGCGCCCACCGGAACAAACAACACTGTAATTCTGTACCGTAAACAGAATTCATACATATTAATTACTGACGGTATTATTAAAGTCGACTATTTTAAACATCCTTCAAGTTAAAAGATTGAAACACTATACAACAAGTAACAATATACTCTAACTAGGTGGTCTACATATTTCAAAATAAACTATAACTTGATACTAACTTTTTATTGTTAGCAACATTGTTATTATATACTTTGAAACATTTTATGGCTGTACGTTTGTTACAAAAACTGGACTGTTAAATTCAATTGGAATGGCGTCATTTCAATTGCTATGACAGTATGTCACTTGGTGTGATTTCGAACGACGTCATGAAACGTCGTGTGAAATCACGATACGTCATTGACGTCACACCACTTCGTCACACCACGTCTATTTGCGTCACGTCATAGCATATCTTGTGACGTCATGACACGTTTTGTTACGTCGTGTGACGTCACGTCATTTTATGTGACGTCACGTCATTTTATGTGACGTCACGTCATTTTATGTGACGTCACGTCATTTTATGTGACGTCACGTCATTTTGTGTGTTGTCACGTGTTATGACGTCATGATAAAATTATCAGAGATGGTGACGGGCTAACAGGACAGTTCAAGATAACGAAGATAATTGACCAAAGTGACGATACTCGAAGTGTTTCCAGTATTCCTCCCTCACACCACTCCTTACCTCAGGTTTGTAATTAATTAATTAATTAATTAATCCAGATCTATTGTCCTTTAATGTTACTAGCAGGAACCCGTCTAACCCTAAAATGGTGTCAAGACTCAAGAGACTAAAACAATTATTACCTATTTAATTCGCGTTTTTGACACCACTTGGGGTACCAAATTTTGGGCTCTAAAACTCCTATTTCTTGGCCAATTTTTTATTTTTTCATGCTGATTTGGAGGCCATTAAAGCATTTGACCCAGTCAAAAAAGATTCAGTTGTATATCTTTGACGGTTTTTGCAGAAATTCGCGTTAAAGTTGATGCCGTGGTGTCAGTAAAATGGCACAGATAAATATATATATATATATATCGTCTCGCTTTATATATAGTAAGATAACGTGGGGAGCAAACTATCAAATGGTTATTTTTCCTCTAGATTTACACCGCATCTTTTCAGAGCGTAACCTTTTTTTAATTAAAAACTTTTCAAATTTTACAGAGTACAGCAGTAAATGATCATGAAATAGAACCGTTCGAAAATAAATATCTTACAAACAAGATTCCAATTTAAAATACGAAATCAAAACAGACAAAACTTGCTGCAGAAAGTAAAAACTTTATTTTAAACTAAAAATTTTAAAACGGAACAGTATAGTAATATAGTCCAATCCAGTGTTTGTAAATTTCGCACTGTTTAAATATAAAATTTTCATTTCTGTCTTAAATATATAACTGTAATTTTTAATTTAAAAAAGATTTTTTACCATTCATTTTGCAGCCCGTAATTTTTGTTGTAGTTCTGTTTTTTTGGTGGAATGTTTTTTATATAACTCACTCTTAATCGTTATAATTTTACTCGCAATTAAAAAAACGTTTTCAGTAACTGATATTCATTCCAATTAAGTCGACGCATTAATTTGTTCAACAGTCAAGCTGTTAGAGAAGTATTTAATATCCAGCATATCATATGCGCTCAATAAACAATCGCCCAATCATTGAACTTGAAAGTCAGCTAAAATAAACGAAGATATAACCTGACTCTGATTTAAATGTGTTCCATATTTCTAACATATCACGTCACACGGTACGTGCCCCTCGCGTAATCAGTTTAATGTATGTCTGACATATCACGTGCCCCTCAGGACGTGCTGTACATGTACCCACCGGGACACCCTCTAGCCGGGCAACTGCACAGTTCCTCGGGGCAGCAGCTCCACAGCTCTCAGGGACCAAAACTACACACCTCCATGGGACAGCAGCTAGTGGGGCCTCACGGGCAGGTCATGAACGTGGCCCCTCAGCAGATGGGGAGCATGTACTCTGGGGGCGCTATGATGGGGCCGCAGTACCTGGTTCAGCAGTACCCGGGAGGACATTATCAGGTGGGGTATTAGTTTATCATCTTCTCGGGGAGATCTGATCTCCCCCCCCCCCCCCCTCCGCATCTTCTCTTGATCAACCAGATTATTTGTACCCTGTCAATGCAGCCCTTCATTCAGCCAACCATTAATTATTGTCTGCTTTCGTGCTCGTTAAACAATTTTAATAATCTTTCAGACGGTCCCAGGGATGCAGTCGAGCATTCAACACGGTATGCAGCCTGGTATGCAGCCTGGATTGCAGCAGGGTATGCAGCAAGGCATCCAGCCTGGTTTGCAACATGGTATGCAACCTGGTATACAGCAAGGTATGCAACCTGGTATGCAGCCTGGTATGCAACACATGCCGATGCAGCAGATTATACCGGGCGCTTATCCAGGAGACCAGTACCTGATCCAATATTCTGGGTAGGTTTATCATCAGTCTGAGTCCCTCTTTGGAGCTCCTGATTTTAAATGGGTATAAACTCAGGGTGGTTTCCTGTGGGAAAAGAAAAATTTTTTTTCGTTTCAAAATTATTTCTTCGCCTTCTACCCTCACCCTCTAAAATACCCACCCCTCCCCTCTAAAATACCCACCCCTCCCCTCTAAAATACCCACCCCTCCCCTCTAAAATACCCACCCCTCCCCTCTAAAATACCCACCCCTCACCCTCTACAATACCCATCCCTCACCCTCTAAAATACCCACCCCTCACCCTCTAAAATACCCACCCCTCACCCTCCCTTTTCCCAGGAGTGGTCAGCATGTGAGACACTTGTCAGGCTCGTACCCATCTCAGCAGGGAGCCGCGCATCTCGGTACCCAGACTAACAACCACTCTTCTGTTGGTCCTAAAACTACTACCGTCCCTCAACCTACTACTAAGGTATGCAGATTTCACATTGTGACGTCACGTGAGGGAGTGTCACGTCACGTGAGGGAGTGTGAGAGTGCGAACTTCGACGTCTCACTTCAAGTGCTCAACATATTCACTGTCTTGTCATGGCTCTTCATTTTACTTTTTTACATACGCTATTTTACTGTTCTTTTTAAGCGAGTCAATGGAAAACATGGTCGTTACTCAGGAAAATATTTGGATTTCCGGTAGACAAAACCATTATTTGCTTCACGTGTGCATTGTAATAGTTATAGTGATATAACCGCACACTGTACTGGCGTGCATCTCACTGTGGGAAATTACAAATCACTCGCCATTTCCATGGCGACAGCAAGTATCTCGGAAGCTCTGATTTCTCTTCTTGATTAACAAATCAGGACGTGTGGTGCCTGTCACGTGGTTTTATTAATCACTAATTTAACTCGATGTCTTGACGCGTCTAACATCACTCGTCTGTATCGGCTTCTCTAGAGCTCGTCATTCTTTACATAGCTTATATAAGGAATGACATAGTGACGTCATGTCGCTTCCAGGTCTGTCTTGTGATGTCATTTAAACTGGTGATTTGTCACGTTAGATAACGCCACGTGACGTTTTGTGGTGTGAAGGAGGGAAATGGATATGAAATGGAGTGGTATTTTTGAAATTCAGTATTTGTTGAGGTTTCAATATCCGTACTCTAATAATATATGTTAACTAGTGTAACCCGGCCTACGGCCGGGATTTCACTGCCGCAGTTAAAAAGGGTAGGAGTAATTACCCGCTGAGTCAAAACCCAGATTAGGCGAGCAATTGTATTCGGAGTGCCCTCACGTATCCAATAGTATGCTTAAAAAATAGTAATTCTTAATCAATAATCAATAGAAATTAACCCTGCACCACACCAGCCTATCATATTTGTGAACATGCATTACATTGTCGTATGAAAGTATGAACTCTCTCTACAGTCCAAACAGACCGTTTGAGCACTCCCTCCCCTAATAAGTTTATAGTATCATATGACCATGTAATATATACGCCATGTAATATATACGCTACATATGCAGAGAGAGAGAGAGAGAGAGCTAGCCCCGTAACTCTTGCCGTTCTTCTCAAGCCATTTTATGTAACATATTTTGTGGTACAAAACCATCAATTAAACCACTTACCACCGGCCGATTTTTATAAAATTTGCTTATTGGCTTCGTCAGAGTTTTGTCGGCACTATACCGAAAAAACCAGTCCCGTAACTATTTATTACCGTTTTTTTTGTATAACCGTTCGGAAATTACACACAGACAGACAGACACACAGACAGACACACATTCTGGTGTTATTAAGTTGATACTTGTGTTTGATGTATATTTTGTGGTAATTGTTGAGGCTATCCACTATTCATACTCAAATAACTTATAATAAAAGTGTCTGATATACATTCTGTCTAATTACAGCAGCGTCTAATATCTACTGGTGTTTTACCGGCTTGTTTTTATTTTGAACGCTATGTTTAACAGCACATCTCCTGTACATTATTATAAAAAACATGACTTTTTCATCTCCCAGGCCCACATTCCTAGGTATAATATATTATCTGACGTTTCGCTTCATTTTAGACGAGCCGAAACCACGTTTTGTGCACAATGCAGCGAAACAATAGCCCAAATTACAATAGACCCTGGCACAGCTATCCAGGAATTAATTAGGTCAATACTTTTCTTTTGAGCAATTCCAAGCACCGTGCGACTTTAAGTTTTCTAAATTATTGCAGTTAATTTTAGCCTGACTATCGCATTCCAGTCAGTTGGATATGATCATTTCCATTTGATCAATTCCACTGTAATATCTACTCAATTTCAAGATAGATCCTCTCTGTTACTGTACGGAATTGGGCCACGTCAGTTCCTGCTTTGTATTGTTGTGAAGTTTATTTGTTAATTCTGAGACATTTTTCACTCCAATTTAGTGAGTCACTTTTTGATTGGGACGATTTAAACGTGGTCTCTGGCTTAGAGAAGTGCAGTTTTAACAATTCTGCAGATCTTGGGGGGGGGGGGGGGGGGGGGGGACTTGGAGTCGTTAAAAATAAAAACTATTCAGTCCTTTACTATGAAATGCAGGTCACTTTGCATAAATGACCAGATTACATTTGTTTTGATACCTGGCAAATGCTCGTGCATTAGATTGGCCGTTACTGCAAGCTGATCACTATATCCTCATCACGTGTCAAAACAAACGCGCATTTCCTCCTTCAAACCAACACCAGCCTCTCTCCAGCCTCTCTCCAGCCTCTCTCCAGCCTCTCTCCAGCCAACACCAGCCTCTCTCCAGCCTCTCTCCAGCCTCTCTCCAGCCAACACCAGCCTCTCTCCAGCCTCTCTCCAGCCTCTCTCCAGCCAACACCAGCCTCTCTCCAGCCTCTCTCCAGCCTCTCTCCAGCCAACACCAGCCTCTCTCCAGCCTCTCTCCAGCCAACACCAGCCTCTCTCCAGCCAACACCAGCCTCTCACCAGCCTCTCTCCAGCCTCTCTCCAGCCTCTCACCAGCCTCTCTCCAGCCAACACCAGCCTCTCTCCAGCCAACACCAGCCTCTCTCCAGCCTCTCTCCAGCCTCTCTCCAGCCAACACCAGCCTCTCTCCAGCCTCTCTCCAGCCTCTCTCCAGCCAACACCAGCCTCTCTCCAGCCTCTCTCCAGCCAACACCAGCCTCTCTCCAGCCTCTCTCCAGCCTCTCTCCAGCCAACACCAGCCTCTCCCTCTCTCCAGCCTCTCTCCAGCCAACACCAGCCTCTCTCCAGCCAACACCAGCCTCTCTCCAGCCTCTCTCCAGCCAACACCAGCCTCTCTCCAGCCAACACCAGCCTCTCTCCAGCCTCTCTCCAGCCAACACCAGCCTCTCTCCATCCTCTCTCCAGCCTCTCTCCAGCCAACACCAGCCTCTCTCCAGCCTCTCTCCAGCCTCTCTCCAGCCAACACCAGCCTCTCTCCAGCCAACACCAGCCTCTCTCCAGCCTCTCTCCAGCCAACACCAGCCTCTCTCCATCCTCTCTCCAGCCTCTCTCCAGCCAACACCAGCCTCTCTCCAGCCTCTCTCCAGCCCTCTCCAGCCTCTCTCCAGCCTCTCTCCAGCCAACACCAGCCTCTCTCCAGCCTCTCTCCAGCCAACACCAGCCTCTCTCCAGCCTCTCTCCAGCCAACACCAGCCTCTCACCAGCCTCTCTCCAGCCTCTCTCCAGCCTCTCACCAGCCTCTCTCCAGCCAACACCAGCCTCTCTCCAGCCTCTCTCCAGCCAACACCAGCCTCTCTCCAGCCTCTCTCCAGCCTCTCTCCAGCCTCTCTCCAGCCAACACCAGCCTCTCTCCAGCCTCTCTCCAGCCAACACCAGCCTCTCTCCAGCCTCTCTCCAGCCTCTCTCCAGCCAACACCAGCCTCTCTCCAGCCTCTTTCCAGCCTCTCTCCAGCCTCTCTCCAGCCAACACCAGCCTCTCTCCAGCCTCTCTCCAGCCAACACCAGCCTCTCTCCAGCCTCTCTCCAGCCTCTCTCCAGCCTCTCTCCAGCCAACACCAGCCTCTCTCCAGCCAACACCAGCCTCTCTCCAGCCTCTCTCCAGCCAACACCAGCCTCTCTCCATCCTCTCTCCAGCCTCTCTCCAGCCAACACCAGCCTCTCTCCAGCCAACACCAGCCTCTCTCCAGCCTCTCTCCAGCCTCTCTCCAGCCAACACCAGCCTCTCTCCAGCCTCTCTCCAGCCAACACCAGCCTCTCTCCAGCCTCTCTCCAGCCTCTCTCCAGCCAACACCAGCCTCTCTCCAGCCTCTCTCCAGCCTCTCTCCAGCCAACACCAGCCTCTCTCCAGCCTCTCTCCAGCCAACACCAGCCTCTCTCCAGCCTCTCTCCAGCCAACACCAGCCTCTCTCCAGCCTCTCTCCAGCCTCTCTCCAGCCAACACCAGCCTCTCTCCAGCCAACACCAGCCTCTCTCCAGCCAACACCAGCCTCTCTCCAGCCTCTCTCCAGCCTCTCTCCAGCCTCTCTCCAGCCAACACCAGCCTCTCTCCAGCCTCTCTCCAGCCAACACCAGCCTCTCTCCAGCCTCTCTCCAGCCAACACCAGCCTCTCTCCAGCCAACACCAGCCTCTCTCCAGCCACCAGCACCAAACTTCACAGCGGTCACTAGAAAGTCATCGGCTCTTCTTCACTTGAGGTGGCCGCTTTCTGTCTCACGATCTAGTCTACCACTGGCGGTGAACCGATCCATTCCACTTTCACCCGGCATACAAATTACTTGATTATACTAATTACCACAATTATCCCCATTATTCATCTAATTATCGTGATCAGTCTGCCCTATCTCGTGGCATCAGCTTCATTTCCCAGATATCATCACTGAGCTGGTAGCCTCACTTTCCGTTCCTTTTCTTCTTCTTAATTAAAGCTGCTGATTTTGCGCCACTTAGCCACTGTTTTCAAGGTTCTTCTTTGGACGTGGATGATAAAATGTGCGTGTATTTTACAAATAAAATGCGTATTAATAAGATATCCTGTTCTAAAGTATGTGTTAGATTTACTTTATCCCTACCTCTGATAATGCTCGGTAAGGTGGTTAAATTCTGAAGAAATCTTGGTAGTAATCTAATTGTAAAAGACATTAAATAAATAAAAATAGAATAAGAGTGTTAATCTAATTACTGAACGGTATTAGCAGTACCACTGGATGAGGTAATGATTACAAAACCTCAAACTCCGCACGCCGTCTGATTACAAAACCTCAAACTCTGCACGCCGTCAGACTCAGAAACTCACGCCGGCCCACCAGTTAATCACCGCACAATCCCGGACACGATCCGTACAATGTAGTTGTAATGCTGCTATTAGCTTACCTCATGTGAATTTATTACGGTTTTGGATCCCCAACGGCAGCTGCCGGCAGGTTCTTTTCCAACGTTTTCCTGATTTTGGCAGTAATTTTCGGTGACCTCACAGGCCAGCGTCAAAATGGTCAACTATAATAGTAATAACTCATTTTATGTCAATATCCCCCTTCCTCAGAACGAATCTGTCTTGGTTGCTCTTTGTAAGGGGTACGTGGGCTCCTAATATCACTGTTGCCAAATATTCGTTGTTGTTGTTGTTGAAACACGAATTATGTTTAAAATATTGAACATTGTCTCCCTGCCAACAGTTCTAGCTGTCCATTAATATTATGTCCCTCCATTTATTTGTACGCTTAAAACTGTTATGTTTATGTCAAGCTTGGTGTCTGAACTGTGTTTTGGCTCAGTTTTGCGACCAGATTTGACACAAAACTCCGCGAAAAGAGTTTTGAAAGTCAAAACTCCGCGAAGGCAGTTTTGTTTACAATGTACGTTCCCATGCGGTTGGTATTTGCACTCAGATTTGCGCGCGCACGTGGGCGCATTATAATGAAATTTCCCACGCGAGCGCCCTACCCAGGTTAAAACTGCTTTCACGGAGTTTTGGGTCATATCAAAAATAGAAATATTTTTGAAAATATAGAAATATTTTTGAATTTCATTTCTGGTCGCAAAAATGTGAGAAAAAATGTGAGCAAATCTGGTTGCAAAACTGAGCCGTGGAACTGCAGGGTTAGAAACACACACCACTTACCTCACAATTACCACACAGTTTAAAGCGTTACCAGACTGTGTACTGTAACTGTAGGTGGTATGTGGTCACCATGCACGGTATGTGGTCACCATGGTTACCAGCTATTTAATAACTTCCGTGAAGAGGTTAGAGCTGGTGCAGGTACAAAACACAATACATTGTCTGCTGTCTGCTGCAACTGGCTGCTGGCTGCTGTCTACTTTTTTAACGCTCTTATTGTATCCTTAATCCTTATCCAGTTTTATTAGTCGTCCATATTGCTGTGTTTGATTTTAAAGACTTAAGCCCAATTTCCTACGTTCACTTGAAGGTTTTATCATGAACGTTAATTAGTCCTGACGCAATCATATCAATATCTATGACCCTTACTACATACCTTAAACTTAAGACAAGTGCAAATCCTCACCCTTACACCTAAAACACTTTACTTATTCTTATTACACTTGCTCATATATCCTAACACCAAACTGAATCTGATTGTTATCGTCCGACTCATGGATGAAACACAGTAAAAGGTATGTCGGGAAATATTTCGTCAAGAAACCTGCCTGGGCAATATTTCTCTATTTACTGTCTCACTAGATACCTTTCGCTTTGTCGGCAAACCCAATTATACTTATTATTCAATACATACAAGTATAATGAGTTAGTAATATTCGCTAATCGCTTGTTGTACTTGATATTCTGAGTTCTGCCCACTCCAAATTGCTCGCCAGTTGCCCGAACCAATCATTAAAACATTACAAATATCATCGTGACGTCACTGTCAAACCAGCCAATCAGAGCTCTGCAGAACGTCTCCTGTTCAATGAGCGTGCAAGATGAGTGACGTCACGAGTCACCAACCAATCAGAGACAAGTATGAGTGGTACGTGGTGGTAAAGCAGCCAATCAGGGACGTGTATGAGTATCACGTGGTTTTGGTAAGCACTGCTTGTTGAGGAGAGAGAGCGGGGCGGCGTTGTGTTACGCAGTGTGCTGAAGGAGATACTGTTTATTAACACTGCCTGCACTCACGGTGTGGAGATACAGTGAGAATTGCTATGGTTTTTAACATTTAACGCGATACTATCGCTCCTGTTTTATTGTGTGCGCTTCTGTTTGCTTGCTTTTTATTTGCTTCCCTTTGCTTTTTGTATTACGGGAGATAACGTTATTTTTAGATATACTATATCTCTCTTCCTCTCTCTCTGGGGCAGTCGGTCTTATAGTTTTGGGTTTTGGATAGTTGAGAGTTAGCTGCTCTGCCTTACCACTTTGCTTTACCATTTTGCTTTACCACTTTGCCAGTGTTGTTTGTGTTATTGTTATTGTATCGAGTTGGGTACAAGTGGGTGAATCATATTTGTTGTGACACGTGATAGTTATTCTGGCGTTTAAGTGGTCGCTGGCGGAAGCTGATTGGTCAATTACTATCACTTGTCAAGACAGATATACCCGCCGGTGTCCAAGTGTGTATTTTGGCTATCCTGTTATAGTTTTTGTTAAATCGCAAGGAAGGATTGTCTTTTTCTTTATTTATTTTAATTTTTTGAAACTTTCTTAATTTTGTATCCCCAAACGTTCTTTAAATTTGTTTCCAATAAGAGCTTTAGAGGGACTAATCCTGAACTGCTGTTTATTGTGTGTCCCCGGGAACTCACGTGTAACTCACGTCCAATATATTTATCGTTGTTTTTAACGCCATGCTCACTGCCAAATGTCGTCTTAGCACAACAACCAAAGTTCAGACGATTTTCCGGCTACATAAAAGCTAGGCTGACTTTAACAGCTAAACCTAGGCCTTTATTACAATTATTTCATTAGTTTATCAACAACCATGGACTGATTGGAAACTGTCCAAGTGTTGATCCTCCTTCTGACCTAATCTCGTGACTATTCCCCGTAATACTATATTTTTCTGAGAAACATTCGAAATAGAAAAAAAAACATATGATTCTGTATTACGGAGCAAAACGTATCACGAACGATCGTTCACTTTTAACAATATCATCAAACAAAATTAGATACATTTCCTTCTCTTATATCATATCTGTTCAATATCTAAATATTGGAGGAGCTTTTGTGAGTTGATTTACGTTTAACGGTACAACATGGCACATAGTTTTCCAGATCAAAAACCGTGACTTCAATGTCAGATATAATACTGTTCGTGATGCGTGTATTTTATGTTATCACGCGATAGAATTATGCAAAGTAATTAGAATTATGCAAAGTAATTAGAATTATGCAAAGTAATTAGAATTATGCAAAGTAATTAGAATTATGCAAAGTAATTAGAATTATGCAAAGTAATTAAATTTCGGACTACACACAAACGTGGCCTTAGTTAGGTCAATAATTTTCTAGCATAATACGTTTCCGGCTTATTCGTCCGTGCACCCGAGTTTTACCCTGCAATTCATAAATTCGTTGCTTTTATTAATCTAATATTCATATTTATCGACCAAGAATACAATCATGAGTCTGATTTTTTTTCAACAAAAAAACATGCTACAAAGTCCATTTCCATGTTTCAATACCGCTCTGCCTCGCTCTATAAATATACCACTAAAACGGTTGAATGGTTGTTGTCAGCATGCCAGATGCTACTTCTCCTGCTCCCATAATGAATAACCACGAACACTGCCACCCTTCGCGACGTATCACATTACACCATTTCTCCGAATCAGTCCTCATTTCTAGGATTTATAAATATTTATGTACGTGTTGTTCGAGCAGGTTATCCTGGTTTGTTGCCAGATTGTTTAATGTTCAGACTGCTTACAAACGTCGTACCGCTTATAATAACACACTAACCAACACTATCATCCTTTTCCTGCAGCAATTCAGCTTACACTATTTTTCATCGCAACTTTTTTATATAACATGCTACTATTTATTCAGTTTCTCCTCTCTTTTTGTACGTGTAGAGGTTAATGGGGATACAAAGCACCTCCTCCTCTTTCTACAAAGCATCTCCTCCTATTTCTGCGTGCGTGATTTTGCCTCCACTGCTCGCCACTACTACACTCCCACAATTATGTTTCCCCTGCATATTCAAACGAGCATGCTTATATTCAGTAGTTATAAACTTGTGCCATAATGCCTCCATAACATATTGCGATGTGTTTCCTTGTTGTTTGACTGTTCAGCTGTATGTTTGCAGTTTGTTCAGGACTCACGTTAACCTCGTACTACTCTCCAATTAGCCTGTAATAACTTGTGAGTTGTGAGACGGTCTTGTTTGTCTCGCCTTTACGGCTCTTCTGCTTTTATACCTGTCTTATCTATCTAGTTGTAAGTTGTCACATGACATAGTTTCTAGTTGTTAGTTGTCACATGACAATGTAAAAAGTAGTAACTTTGTCATGCCGCCATTTCCTGCCAGTACACAATCTCTACAGTCCCTGATTTGCCACTAATTGATAAGTCTAATACATGCTCTGCCAGACGCTCCAGTGCCCAACAAAGTCCTTGATTCACATCGCTAATCGTTATTAGTAGCAGATACTGCCTCTGCTGTACAACACACACACACACACATACACACACACCCACCAGCCGCTCTGTCAGCGCTCTTCAGAGCTGGAGAGAGAGAATTGCTAATTAACTTTACCAAATACTGCACATTATGTACAACTGCTCTATTTTAGCAGTCCAATGAGAGAGTATGTGAGGGTTGTGAGTATTACCAGCTGGCCAGGTAGTGTGTGTTTGGTGTGTAGCTTCTGCAGAATGTCAACTACCGTCATAATCATATTTGTTGTGAGCTTTGTCAAATTGTCATTTGACTTTTGTCTGTTTTGTGTACTATTTGAAGGAGATTGTAAATAGTCTCCTCTGTGCGTGGGTTGATTTCACACTTCCTTGTAGTAGACAGTGTTCACTGTTCATACCTCGTACTCTTTATCTGATATTAGTAGCTATTTTCTTTGTTGTCAACACGAGGCCTGTAAGCGAGAAAATGTACAAGTGGAGAGAGAAAATTTCTTATCTTTATGGTCTTGTAATAATAACGTTTTGTTTGAATACTCGAATTGACCACGAACCCTATTCATATGAGTGAGCTGGCTAAACTCGTCTTATTGCAGCAGATGACGGCTACAACAGCTCCAGCACCGAGCTCCAACCCTACTGGTCCCTCTGACAGATGCTCCCTCTCAACCTTACAGGTCAACTCAGACCAGGTCAGTCTTACAGGTCAACTCAGACCAGGTCAGTCTTACAGGTCAACTCAGACCAGGTCAGTCTTACAGGTCAACTCAGACCAGGTCAGTCTTACAGGTCAACTCAGACCAGGTCAGTCTTGCAGGTCAACTCAGACCAGGTCAGTCTTGCAGGTCAACTCAGACCAGGTCAGTCTTACAGGTCAACTCAGACCAGGTCAGTCTTACAGGTCAACTCAGACCAGGTCAGTCTTGCAGGTCAACTCAGACCAGGTCAGTCTTACAGGTCAACTCAGACCAGGTCAGTCTTGCAGGTCAACTCAGACCAGGTCAGTCTTACAGGTCAACTCAGACCAGGTCAGTCTTGCAGGTCAACTCAGACCAGGTCAGTCTTACAGGTCAACTCAGACCAGGTCAGTCTTGCAGGTCAACTCAGACCAGGTCAGTCTTACAGGTCAACTCAGACCAGGTCAGTCTTACAGTTCAACTCAGACCAGGTCAGTCTTACAGGTCAACTCAGACCAGGTAAGTCTTTCTACTTCCTTACTCCATAGGGTAGTGTTTTGGGGTCCCTCAAGGTTTTGTTCAGGGCCCCTCAGTGTTTTTTAGGATTCTCGGGGTAGTTTATTGGGGTCCGGTCCCTCAGGGTTATTTTTGGGTCGTCGAACTAGGCTAAGAAATTATATCAGAGCTCAGCTGAAACTATTTATCCATACTATTTTCGCTCCCTAATAAAAATTACTTTGCAGAGTTCTGAAGCTTCCTCAACACCAGCACCACCCTCTCGTTTCATCATCAAACCAGTTGACGAAAACAAACCTGTGGAACCCTCCAACGCGTCCCAAGATAAACGATCACACTCCATCACTATCGAATCTGACAAAGAAAACGCTAAATCTTCAAGCGAACACTTATCCCAGTTATCTGTCGGAACACAGCATCAACAACAACAACAGCAGCAGCAACAACAACAACAACAGCAACAACAACAACAGCAACAACAGCATCACCAACATCAGCAACAACAACACGTTTTCACAAATTCACGCGATGTGCAAATCAAAGAGCACATGTATGCAGACCAGCACCAGCATCAGAAGACGTTCACTTCCAACGGTTCTAGTTTAGAAGATATCAGACAGTTGCCAGATTGGTTTAGGAAGGATCAGGATTACATCGCTCTTATTTCTAAGCATGACAACGAAATCAACGAAACCAAAGCCAGGTTTGTTTTCAACCATTATTACTCCTATCTTTTAAATGTCTTTAAATCCATTTTAGCCGTGTTTTTATATTTAGTGACCTATAACTTAATTTTTAGAATATATTTTACACCAGTCTTGAAATATAAATTCAGCATATAGAATATTTATTTCTCTAACAAGGTGACCGAATAGACCAAAAATTGTGGGTAGTTGATGTTTGTCCGTTATAAAAACTAAAAAGGAATGTTTGTAGGAGGCTGCAATAATTAGCGTATTGTTTGGTTGTGAGGTTTTGTAATCTTATTAACCCGGTCGTTCTCTAACAACCCAACTTCAACACATTTTCATCTTTAGAAAATCACGACGATCCATACTCCTACGTATTCTAGAATTTCGACTACAAAGTGTCTTAAATCATCATATTGTGACTCGACTAGTCACATTGAGGTCATTTCTTGATTCCATCTTATTCCATTTACCTCAGACACAACTCAGAGACAAGGAGTTTGTATCAGAAGAAAGTGCATTCCACAGCACATTCCAGTCTGTCCAGCATCACCATGACACGTGACAGGTAATTGTTTGTTGCCATGGTTACCAGTTTTATTTTGACCACGTAAAAATAAACGGGTTGCTGTACTATGAGATATTACTATTAGCGTTATTGTTGTATTAAATATTTTGGGTGTGAAATGTTGTCAAATATTTGTATAATAAACAGTTTACAAAGTAGTAAAGAGAACTGGATCAAGTCTTTTTCACGGATACTTTTATCATGGCTAGCATTTGGTGGTAATCACGCATATGAGCTGTTGTCATGGTTACCGTTTCTATGGTAACCATGGTTACTGTGGCAGGTCTGTAAGTGAGAAGAAGAAAAGTGATCACGTGATATCACCTCCATCAGAACCTCGTGACGTCACTCCCTTGTGGAAGAGGTCTGCCTTCATAGCAAACGCTGCGTTGTTGCCATGTCAACCTCCAGCACCAGCCACGCTATTATTAACAGAGCTGTGTTTTATGTCCAGTATCCGCCTTCGTGCTCTTAATATTTCATGGAACCAGCTTTTTCGTTTGCACATTATTACACGGCTATATCTCCGATATGGCACACATGGCACAATAATTTACACTTTAATGATATAGGAGTTAAGGCCCAGACTTCTCGTTGGAGGAACAGTTTAAAATATTATACTTATTTAACAAATATAATTTATCTATGAGATACATAATTTATGTCTAAGGTGCACTGGATTGTGACCACTTGTCACTTTCTAACAGATTACATTTTTCCGATGTTCTTAAATGACCAATGTTGTAACGATGTATTATTTTCTAAATTGTCCTGTGTCTGTACATGTTATTAGCGAAGCACTGATAGGTCTGCTATATAATTATATACGCTGGCTTATTGCCCTAAAGGCTGTGCTTTATAATATCAAATCTGTCTTTAATAATAATAATTACTTGACACAGAACAATACAAGATACGACGTTATCAGCTACAAACCCGACTGCACGTGCGTACATCACGCACGACCCTGCACGTCGGCGTGCGCGCACACTATCAGATGACAAACAAACGCAGACCGAAAAAAAGGTGGGAATAGACAAGGGAGTGGTGGTTTTCACTTACACGGACTGTACTGACAGAACTGACAGAACTGACAGAACTGACAGAACTAGAGACGAGTTGTTTAGTCCGGCTGAGTCTGAGGGAGATTTTATGAGTTGTCTGTCTGTTGGGAGTAATACTAGCAGGTAATCTGTTGCCATGGTAACGCGTGATATTGTGGTAACGCGTGATATTGTGGTAACGTTGTCATGGTTATACATGTTGTCATGGTAACAAGTGTTGGTTGTCATGGTACGAACTATTGTTGTGGTGTTGGTTGTTATAGTATTGTGTTGGTTGTCGTAGTAACGGGTTTTGTTTCCATAGTAACTGGTATGTTGTTTCCATGGTAACAAGTGTCGTCATGGTAATATGTCCTTGCTTTCAGCACGTCGGCTCCCCTCCGCAAATCCTCTAAAACCTATACCAGGTCCAGATCAGGGTGCGTTGTCATGGTTGTCATGGTAACCGCGCATGATTCGCACTGTCATGGTTACCATATTTTCTTTTCACTGTTTTGCGTGATGTTGTTTGTTTCATGTAATTTGTTTTGAAGCTTGCAATGTTGTAATATGTAGACATTGATAATACAGTAAAACCCCCATATACCAATCCTCTTCCCTCCCCCAAATATTTCAAAAGTGCCACTTGTTTACCATTATTAAGTGACCCTTCGCGGGAACGTAATGTCAATCAGGCTTGTCTGGCTTGTTAGTCTCCCTATCTGCTGAATTCTGACTGACCGTACTATTTTCCTCATCCCCAAATAGTACGGTAAATATGGGTTTTACTGTGTATTGATAGAGTTTATACTGATTGCTCTTATATTAAATTGATATCGAATCAAGTGATAAAAATTAAATGACGATGTAATTAAGTTCAATGAACTTTGATCAATCATTTATTGGCCTGCTTTATAACCATGGTCGTTGCTTTTATTTTTTAATTGTTTGTTAATTTGAATTATAATTGTTCGTCAATTCACATTTCATGGCATTTAAAAGCATTCTTGATTTGAACTCAAAGCTCCTGTTTCACGCCGCTGTATTCGTTGTTTGTATAAACTCGTATTTTTAAATGTTAACAATTAACTGTTTGGATAGCTGTTCACATTCGTAAAACTGTCTCACTTTTCCAACAATAATAAACATGTCATCAATATTGTGTATAGTATAATACACAACTTCAGTGTAAGCACCCAGTTGGTTGCCATGTAAACTAACTCCCTCTCTCCAGATCGACCTCGAACTCTGATCTGATGGGAGTGTTACCCCAGATTCTATCCGCTACAAGCATAGAAACAGACAGTCACGGCAAGTGTGCCAGTATTGAGAGTCAGAACTTATCTTCTGAGCTTGTCCACAGACACAGCAACCTTGAAATGCACGAGGTACGGGTTTATCTCTCACACTATTGTGGTTTTTTGAAATTCATCTCTTTAAAGTTTTCAGCTTTTTTTATACTGGCGATCAAAAATTTCCCAAATTGACAGTAAATTTAATTTCCCGCAGGCATCAAGCAATCAAGTTATGTACCCGATGATGATGTCGCAACAATCCTTCCCTAGCGCCTGGACGCACGGACAGAGTTGGCAGCACCAACATTCCTTTCCTCAGTGGGGCTCTGCTTCACATTCACTTCAGGTAAGGACAGGAAAATAATTGACAGAGAAATAGGGACAGGGAAATAGGGACAGGGAAATAGGAACAGGGAAATAGGGACAGGGAAATAGGGACAGGGAAATAGGGACAGGGAAATAGGGACAGGGAAATAGGGACAGGGAAATAGGGACAGGGAAATAGGGACAGGGAAATAGGGACAGGGAAATAGGGACAGGGAAATAGGGACAGAGAAATAGGGACAGGGAAATAGGGACAGGGAGATGACCAGGATTTGGGCCCCAAAATAATTGATAAATGACAATTTGAGATTTGTAAATAACAGCAATACTTTCAGGCGGGACCTGGGGGAGTACAGAGACAAGTGATAATAGTCCCACAGCAGTCAGGTGGGAACATTGTTCACCCCTCCTACATGTCCAACAGCCAGTCCACCATGTCCCTGCCTCAGGGCTACCAGGTGCTCCGCACCGAGGACTTTCCTAACATCCACAACTGAGATTCTGTCACGTCATCATGAACAGTACGCGAGGAAATGTGTTGCCCGAGTTTTGCTTGTGGTCGAGAAGTTTTCCCGGTTGTTTTGTGAGCGTGACCTTTCAATTCTGATCAACCTACTGCGTGACATCGTCTCAGAAGCGCGTGACGTCATCTTAAAAACCACGTGACGTCACGGAAGCATCTCGTTTTGACATCTCTAATGCTTTGTTGTGGTGATTTAAAAACTTGAGTAATTTATTTGGGATTATAGCCCCATTGAGTTGACAGAAAGTATGTGATTGTAAGTTAAGATACCTTGTAATGTTGCCACGGTAACAAAGTATTACTACTTTGCCGGGATTTTCTGTTTTTACTGCACGGATTTTATGCAGATGTGTTTTTATTCAACTTTTCAGCTGTGTAAATACTTCATTACATTTACATGATGAGAAAATTATGTGATTTTCCGAAAGACGAGTTATTTACCCACGCATGTGATAACGTCCTTGTTGGCTTTATCTGAGCGGTTAAGATTTAAATCTTAAATTAAGAATACGCTTATTTTATCTATCGTGAACATTTTAAAAGCCAATAAGGAAATCATCGTGTTTCAAAGCATACAATATGCGACCAAAAGAAAGCTGCGTTTGCTTTATATAATTATTAATTAGTTGATATGAACTTTTTGATTTCGTAGGTTTGCTAGCTTTGCCATCATTCACGATTTCTCGAATTTTTGTAATATTTTTCTTACCTTCATCCAAGCAATATTCACTTCACTGTATTATGTTTATTTAAAAGATGATCAAGTTTTTACCTAGAGTAAATTAATAACAGTATAAGTGATTAGCGCACTGTCAGTGAAATATATATTGTTTTAAAAGGGATTAAATTTTTATTTGTGAAGCTATGTTTATTATTGATTTAATGTTAGGTAGCGCTGAACATGCTGTATTTCTATTTGGGGTTCACGGTGCATGGAGAGACGCTGGATCAACTATGTGGAATGTTCTGGATCTGTTTTTCAACGACAACAATGTTATTAAGATACTGATGATTCTGTTGTTATGAAGAATATTGGAATTTTCAATAAAATAACCGCATAGTTTTGATTGTTCTCCTTGTTACCTTCCCAGGGAACATTAGTCATTACCGGCTGATTTGTGATTAAATTTAACGTTAGTTGTAGTCTTGGTCGCGCGTGTAAATTTATGTCCATTGGTTGCACTTCCGATTAATACACGTTGCATGTCCCTTGTCTGGATATTATCTTAACGGGTGAAAATAGTTGTTCCAGCTATTATCAGTATCACGCCGGCCTGTGGCATAACTAGAATTAGACCAATATGTGTGGGTGCGACTGCGTATACGTTAATTTCTTTGTTGATATTCTTGCATCTTGTGAATGGGTCACACCGAGGGCATGAAAACAGAAAATAATCGCTTCCCGGGCAGTTAGTAGCAGTTTCTTTGCACTTTGCTCCTCCTGTGTACAAGAGCCGCGCGCTGAGTTAGATTGTAAAGCCTGCTTATTTGATTGTAAAATCGCAAAAACGCGCGTTTTAGAGGGTTCAATTACGCCAGCAGCCAGGCTATGTTTACGTTTATGAACATAATAGCCAGGGGTCGACCCAGGTAAGCTTCTCTCACAGATGCGAGAAGCTCTTAAAGAGCGCCGCTCATAAAGATTGGCAGGTAAGTTGTATAAGCAGGCAACAATAATGAATAAGCTTTTAATACACTATTTTACCTTAAAAGTAACGTTTCCTCCACAGGAGGAAAATTAGGGACATTTTAGATTTTGTGTTTTGAGTTATTTCAAGATTTCCAGAAAAGTCTCATTTTGGCCCGATCAAAAGTTTGCAACTTTAAAGGATGAGCACTCCTGCGCGCAGTGTTGTGACCTCCCTTCGTCGTAATTAGCTCGTATTCAGATTGAACAATTTTGAATTCAAATAAATGTTGTTTCTTTTAGATTTGAATAAACAATAAGGATTTAGTCCGAAAGTAATTTGTCTACTAAATAACATTTTGAAATTATGAACAAAATTGGTAAAAATTTGCCATAGTTGTGACCAAAAAACTACGCGCAGAATTAGATATTTCTTCATAAACGCGTGAACATTTTTGAGTTTAACATTGAATATCTTAGCTCGGTTATTTTAATACTTAATTTTAAAGTATCTATCCGATAACTAAACATTTTATCTTTACGACAGTATAATTTTTTTTTGTATATTTGCTAAATTAAAAAAACAGTAGGAATAGAAACGTCGAAGGTCTTGCGCTTATTTCAGTCACAAAATATACCCTAATCATAAACTTCATAAAATCCACTGAAAATGATGTCTAAAGGCATATCTAGTCCTTACACCTTCCCAAATCATTTAGCAAGGATTCAGAGCCAGCTTTTAAAATTAGCTTTCGAATAACATTGTTAAGACATAAAACTATAAATAAATGAGTGCGTTTTTCTCTTTCGTCTCAACAGTTTCTCTTTCATTTTAACACTATATATTAGTAAAAGCAATCAGCGATCTTTATTCATCATTAAAGGAGTAAAATAATTGGTCCTCGTTAATGTTTAGTGTCTGATTACAGTTTCGGTCCGACCTCCACACCTGAAAAGATATTGGGGGTATTATCAGTTAAGTAAATGGAAAAATCATATTTCCATCATAAAACTATGAAAACATTGAAACTAATGTTTTTGAAGGCTCGCCTATTCGTTTAAGCAATCAAATAGTCAGTGCAAAGAACAGTTGAAGGCACCGGGAATGTTTCAAATAAATCCTCTGTCTACTATCAGACCACACACTCCACTATGCACTTCAATGTATCGTATAACAATGGCAGTTGAAATGTGTTCCCGCCATTTTAAAATCAAAAATGTGCGCAGCATCTTACGGGTTATGCGCCGTGATCAACGGTCACGGCGCAATGGTTATGCGCCGTGACCATTGATCACGGCGCATACACATTGCGTTTAAATTGTCGTATAAATGTCCAGCTTCTCTGTGAAATTTGGTTGACTCGACTAATTTAAAAATTTAATACTCTTTGTTTCATTCTAGTTTAATTGTATTTCTATTATGGTCGGAAAGAATTATAATGTTTTTTTCTTCTACTGGGCCACATTCAGCCTGTCATTCCGCCATATTTTCAACGGCTATGAACACTAACATATGAACACTTATATGAGCCTGGCCCCATGTAAGATGTTTCTTTGTAGTCAGCAGTGTATTACTATTTCGGTTTTATAGTCGCATTTAATTCAGTTAATATTAATGGTTTCTTCACCTCTTCAAAGTTCAATGTAATTGGTTTGGAGGTCATTTGAAATAAGGAGGTAAAATAACTCACATAGCTTCCGGCAAGTTTCACGGATATAGTGATTGAGTTTCTAGTCAACCTAGCCTCTTTGCCTGACTGATTTCTTGTTCGGCAGGGTGACTGCTTAAACGTCAACTTCAACCTCTTCCACTGCATCGAATCGTACTAGTAGAATTTGTACCTGAAATATTACATTTAGTTTAGCGACCTTCACATGCGAGTCAAACTTAGTATTTCTGAAAGTTTCGCCAAATTTCATTGATTTCAGAGGGTGTGGCACGTCACTCTCTCCTTTTAGTTTTAATTATTGTCCATCAGTCCTACCAGCAGTTTTTTGATGACATGATAAGGGCGATTCAACCGCAAGTCAGGTCAGGGAGAGTTTGGAGACCAGACAAGGAACTAGATTGTGCTGAGAGGGACTTAGTCTGTGAAGCGGTGAGAGGAATGGTCCAGCCGTACAGCAGAGCAAGTATTGGTTTTGGAGAATGGAAGAAACCGTGGAAGAAGATGAACGCCCGGGAACAACAAGCTGAGGTCCTTCAGAGAGTTAAAAGAAACCTCGAGCATGAAAGGGAGGTTCAATGCGGCTCTCTTGAGATGCAGTCAAGATGGGGACAGTGGAGGGAAGAGGTTATGAAGACGGACATGAGCTGGCACACACTCTTTAAGTATGGTGATTCGCTCACAGGTTTTATGCTCAGTGCGACTTATGGTACTGTGGTCACACCAAATTGATTTTTTTTAATAATCCAAATACAGGCAGCGATTTAGTCAACTTAAGTTTGTCATTTATGTAATTGAACATTAAAAATGTATCCTTCATAGAATTTTGTATTATCTCGAGGGTATAAAATTGTCAATTGAGAAACACGTCATAAATCTAAACAAATAAGTTCATTAAAATAGCTATCAATCAGTAAATGAACGAACCTGTACATCTAGATGATGTAGGTCCACCACTTGTAACTTGTCAGACCGGTTGTTGTACAGCTTCCTGTTCAGCCTGAAAACACATTTCTGTTACCATGACAACGTTACCATTACAAGTTACCCGTGATGGGGAGTGTCATGAGGTTACGTGACTGATAAAGTTAATACACCTCCTCCCCACTAATAGTGCACTAACCTGGAAATGAGGGAGTAGACTCCAAAAAGTGAGGACCAGCGTCATGTCAGTAACTTTTAAAAAAGCCCGGGCCTATTTTAGATCCTGAAATTAGTGCCAGGAGTCTGTTTCGTGGATTATATTGTTGGCTTTAAAGGGATTTAAAAAGTGTAAACAGTATAAGGGTATTTATAAAACACATAATTACTGAACACGTGTCGAGATTAACTTAAAACGTGAAAAATCAATAATCAAGTAATCACACGTTTCCTTGCCCCTTCCCTTGTCTGAAAAGTGAAAACTATCCCCTCCCCTTTCACCGAACGTGTGTCTAATCACGAGCAATTTAAATCAAACACGTAAAAACAAGTAACACATAAATGCGAGTACAGAGGCAGTCAACTACATATCATGAATGGTAGTCAACTGATAGTGCGGAGAAACACGGCACACACGTTAGGCCAGGAATGTTCCGCGCCATATAAGGAATAATTCACTGGGTGTACAAATAAACAATGTGGTTGGGCCGTGAACTGGTGGTATTTTTTACACAACTTGTTTTAGTGGGCTTGTCAAGTCCTGCTCGATTATAGTAGTATAGAAGTGGGGCGGAACACCATAGTATGAAGACACAGGCACTTTTAGAGTCCATTTTAATATCACTTTTCACGCTCAGTGCTTCAGACTTTAAATTAAAACTGGCACTTTCCATTTTAACTTCGGCTAATTGATCCCTTACCAATATAAGATAAGTTGTAAATGTAAGTATGAATTGGGGGTCAAATAAGACAGTAGTTTTTATGTTCTTATGTGACTTTTTAATCTATAATTCCGATCCCGGCCAAAAACTCAAAATTGGCCGGGGCCGGGAATAAACACCTCCCCCGGCGCCGGGAATCCCGGTCGTTCAGTGCATTACAGCACAGTAAACAGAGCCAAAGTTGTTACTTGTCAAATGCTAAAATAGAATCTCTAGAATACAAATAAATTCATTCGATCACGGATCAACATCGAAAATGACGTCACAACGACGGTAATGTCAATGACGTCACGAAGCTCACTTGAAGTTTTTGCTGCTGTCTGAGTTTATCAGCTTGTTCACCAGTCTCTGTACTTCTTCAGCGTGCTGATTCAACAGCTCCTGCGGAAGATGCTTTTTGGTCTTTCAGCGCTTTTAGCTTCTCCTGAAATAATCGAGAGGTAATATTGTCTTCTTTCTCTAATAACAAACAAAATAATAAACAAACAAATAAGCAAAGTTTTGTCTGCTTTCAAGCTCAAAGTAATAGTAACACTAACACGACTCACGAGCCCTTTAAAGCTTGTAATAATGTAAGGCGTGACTGTGTTTTCTATGGACAAAATTATTTCAACCTAATTTCTGCATGACAATGTTTAACCTAATTTCTACATGACTATGATCCAGCTATCAGGAAAATTTAAACATCTAATAATTTAAAATTATATCATTAGAACTAGAAGTTCATTTAAAAGTATCGAAATCTTAGTTCTATTTTTACAGTCACCTTTTTAACTATTGAGTTCAATGATTGCTAACTTTGATTTACTCTTTAACTAAAATTTGCTGAAATTAAAAAGTTGTATGATAAAAAGGTACACAAAATCAAAAACTTAGTCGATTAAACTCGTTTCTAGTCGCGTCCAAACTTACTTATTATTATTAAAGTTAAACGTTAGAATTTATAAATAATAGTAAAACAGGATTTAATATCTCCCAAAGGATCAACCTCGTGAACTGTAACTTCGATTTAATAAAAGGCTCGAATAAAAGCAAAGAGGTTACTAAGCACTTACCTATTACCCCCATGACATAAGGTTAAAATTCTCCCCTAACGAGATATTGGCGAAAAACTGTCTCGATCACGTGATATGACCGTATAAGGAAGTTAGCCTAATTTCTCTATAGTGTTTCAGTATATGCTTTTGTAAAGGGTTTGGTTAGGGTTAGGCCGTTAGGGTTGGGATCTGATTAGAGGGTTATGGTTTCCGGGTTTCGAATAGTTGTTTAGGGCCATCTACAGAACGGGTTGAAGAAGTCACGTGACAGGCGATTGTAGAGTGATTAATCATCATCCACCATATAAACTGCCATCGTAAACAGTTAATGAATTAGGTATCAACAATCAAGCACAATATATAATACAGCAGGGCTGATTACTGCTGACACATTATAAAGCAACTAAGAGCAGAAATATGGATGATGGAATAACGCGAGGCAACAGTGACAAGTGAACTGGGCGGAATTAAGGCGCGAACAGTGAACGCACGAGGTGTAAAGCTCAAAGTGCTCCTTCATCAATTATGTTCACTCTTAGACGGATTTGACACGCGAAATTGCGCGGCAATTATGCGCGGCGCGTAAAACTTTTGTAAACCTTTCGGACAAGGGTCAAATTATTTTTCTACTGTCAACACAGCCCAAGTTATACATGTTTTAATATCAAAAAATGTCCAATTTTTTTGTATCATTTTTAACTAATTTCTTTTTCAAATCGCTGCCACATCAAAATTATTTTACGAAAGTACATTAAATTTTCACAGAAAGCTAGCTTAATCGTTTTAGAACTATATTAAAAAAGAATTTAATATAAAAAATGTTAAAACTTTAAAATTATCAATTGAATAAATTGCCAACGTCCAAATATGTGTAAAATACGACGAAGAGGGGTCACAACACTGCGCGCAGCAGTGATGAGGGGACCTTAGAATTTACTTCCAAATATTCGCGTTTAAGTCCTGTGAAAGTGTGTAGAATCAAAAAATACGCCGGACTGTGAAATCGACAATTCGTGCAATATCACGCCGCGCTCCTATTGGCTGATAGCAATTTTGGGCTGTGACGTCACTTATGTGTACGTTAAGGCCAACGTGCGCGCGCACCCTTCGCTCGTGTCAACATTTTGTTCTGTTCTGTTTTAACTACGTCGTGTTACCTTTGGCGTTTGCGAAAGCGGTATCTTTGGTTGCACTGAATTAGTCTAGTTACGAATAATTCTCTTTAATAATAATAGTTAAATGTTACTCAGAAAGGCTTTATTTCTTGTAGTTGTAGTAGGTATTTCTATTTATAATTAATAGCTAAGATAAGTAGCATCCGCTAACTAAACCACAAACTGCTATTTTGTTTTGACTTGTTTGAAACCCGATATGGACACAATTAAAAAGAATGTATGATGTAGTACCTTACTCGGGATTATTATAACCGGGATAAAGTGGTGGGTTTTGGAAGATTCCGCCATATTTTTCCCGGTCAAAAATTTTACCAGTCATAAAAAAACCCGCCGACTCAGATTATGGGGTTCCAAGGGGGTGGTGATCATCATATTTTACCTGAAGTCTCATATGTGCTAGAGAAGACTTTTGAAGCAGTGGATGGAGGGCTGTAACTTTATTGGCGGTTGCTACCATAATTTCGTTATAAAAATCACAATTTGGTTATAGAAATCAGATTTCAGGGTGGACCGTAATTCTCACTTTTCTTGCCCATGAAGTGAGTAAACTGTGCCACTATTTCATGGTCCACGGTGGATTGATTACTGGAGCAGTTGAAGATGCAAAGCCAAGACGTTCCCCAATACCAAGCGGTGGGCAGGAAATTAAGCTCCGGCTGACCTTCAGAGCAGTAGCCCCATTAGCGGACAAAATGAAAGTCTTGTTAAGACAACAATAGGGGGGGGGGGGGGGGAGCCAAGTAGATATTTGTAGATATTTGTAGATTAATGTAGAATGGATAATCCACGAAAAAAGTGGATGACATTCTACAAATTTATACATTTATCTCCAAAAATTCAGTAGAATTTCTGGGCACATATTTGAGATTACATTTTTGTAGATAAATGTAGATATTTGTAGACTATTGTCAATGGATAATTCACGAAAATTCTACAAATTTATACATTTATCTCAAAAAATTCAGTAGAATTTCTGGGCACATAATTGAGATATACATTTTTTGTAGATAAATGTAGATATTTGTAGATTATTGTAATGGATAATTCACGAAAAAAGTGGATGACATTATCCAAATATCTACAAAAATCTACTTGGCTCCCCCCCCCCCCCCCCCCAACAATACAACTTCGAATTTGACGGTCAGCAGCAGGGGGATATCAATAATGATAATGGAGGGGACATTAGCGATAATGAGAATGAGAATACGCTTTAATGAAGATTTGACTTATTATTGCTATAGATTTATTTTCCTTTAAATACATAGACGTGTCTTTTTTTCTATTTCTGAGTAATATCAGTAACTGTAAATCGAAATAACTTCTTTAACAAGTAACAAAAACAGAAATTTAGGTTGAAAATTTGTTGACCTCTGAAAAAATCTTGAAAGGTCGGCCACCGGTAAATACATGACCGGGATAATTTGGCGGGTTTTGGGAAATTCCGCCATATTTTTCCCGGTTATTAATTTTCCCAGTCATAAATTAACCCGCTATAATATTCCCGAGTAAGGTAGAAGACATTTTACTAACTGGCCCTTGGCGCCTCTAGTCCTATCTGAGTACGCACGTGCGGTTTGACACTGCGCGTGTACCGGCCTTTAGTTGTACACTCATTTATAATTTACCGTTTTAGTTTGCTGTGACTTGAGTGTAAAGCGTAACAAATGTGGATGTGTTCGTCTGCTATGCTTGGTGTAATAGTTGCAAATCTTGCTTACGTTATAAGTAGTGTCACATAGTGAGTTAGAACTTAAAAGCTTGGTGCTTGGTGCTTGTCCAACTGGAATGAAGACATGCATTTCATACCTACCCGATCCATTTTTATTAGGACTGTGTTGTGTTGATATGACATGTTGATATATCAACTGTGGTACGAAACAGGGAGTTGCTTAGGTGTTACGTTGGGAGCTATAAATATGCATAATTTACATGCCTTTCTGTGTGACTTCAATCTTATTCCAGGTGTATCTCGGCTCATGCGTTATCGTAGAGTGATAATTCTTTTTTCAACCGGTCATAAAAAGTCTCCTCTCCTCTGGTTATAGGCTCGTTAGTATCGTAAATTGTTAATGTATTCTTAATTAGTAATTTAGTCGGCCCGCACGCTCATTTTACCTGTATTTCTATATGCGCGGATCAGAGCAACTCACATAATTGACTTACCTGAGGACCCCAGGCTATTATGTTCATTAACATATAAAGATTTGGCGGAATGACAGGCTGAGCGCGGCCCAGTAAATAATTGACGTCACAGGTTCAAATTGTTTTGGCTGGATATCTCGGCGCGCGAATGAAATACAACTTTGCGGATTTCACTAAAGTGGTTTATACGATTAATGTAATAAAAGGATTTGCACGAGAAAAAACTTTTTCTAAGGTCCCCTCATCCTTTAACTTTGCGGATTTCTGTACTCTGATTGGCTGAATTGTGTCACGTGCTAGCTTACTGGGCCCCGCGTCAAGTGCTAGCTGCTTGACATTGGAATGTGCCTTAACGGGTGATACTCGTAAAATATCTGTTCCATATATTGGACCGTCGACGAGTCCAACTCGGCGCGCGTCCTGGTAGGTTGTAAACCTACAAAATGTGCCAAGCGTGCAATTAATCACTCCCAGGAAATTTTACTGACTGGCGGGCTTGCTAGAGGTAATCATTTTTTAATATCATGTTTATACTTTATCGTCGTGCGTGACGTAAAGCTCGCTGCTCGCACACGTTTTACAATTTGAATTCAGCCATGTAGTCATATCATGACATTGACAACCATGACATTAATTTGCAAAGTTATAAAGCTGCGACCTTTTATTTGGCCCAAAATCATACTTTTCGGGATAACTTAAAATTTGTAATAACAGATAAGCACTAAACATGACATTCCGTGAATTTAGTGGAAATTATATTTAATGTTTAAGTTGTAGCTTGATGCTTGCTCTAACCAGAGCCCTCTCGCCCGCAGTAGCGCGCGACCGCCGAAGGCGGCAAAAGAGGGCTCTATAGATGGCCACAAACTGGCACCACAAATCGTGGTGCCAGATTTCCTCCCATATTTCTGATGCCGCGCGCGACGTGTTTGGTGTTAGTCATGTCTAGTTACTGCAACTGTGAAACAAGCGCGTCACGCAGTACGCGTAGGCACATGGCTATGTGTAGCTTGATGCACTACTGGGCCGCGCCGCGCATCTTCTCGCAACCACGAATGCAGATCGGCGAGATGCGAAGGATTGACATCGTGAATCAATTAAAAGCCTACACATTTTGGTGTATGAGATTGAAAATAGTTTATACGACGTTTCTGGGCTGAAATACAAAAATTCGAGTGACCGTGAAACCCTGAATTAAAAAAGGATGTAGCCGAAAACGCCCGTATTGCATTTAGTACAAAAATGCAATAATTAAGTCCAAATGTTTTAAGCATCATCTAGAGAAATGATAACCGTCGAGAAATCGTTTTTAACACAAAAAGCTAACGAGTTTCCCTTTCGTATCAGACTATCGGCTCCAAAAATAGACATCAAGAAGCGCGAGGAAAATACATGATACAGCGATAATCAGTTTCAGTTTCAGTTTCAGTTTCAGTCACATTTTTGATTTTCATCAAAATTCTTAGTTTTGCGATTCAATATTGTATTGAATTTATTTTAATCTTTGAGGATCAGAACAAACTTTTCGTTTTAATTACACGATTCCTTACAAAACAAAATACATAAACATAATACCATAGTCTCAAAAAATATAAATTCATCAGAAATTTATAAGTACATCAATTTCAATAACGCCATAAAGTAACAAGGAGTGTAATATAAGGTAACAAAACCACGTGACTACCTTATAAGGAGTGTAATATAAAGTATCAACACCACGCGACTACCTTATAAGGAGTGTAATATAAAGTAACAACACCACGTGACTACCTTATAAGGAGTGTAATATAAAGTATCAACACCACGTGACTACCTTATAAGGAGTGTAATATAAAGTAACAACACCACGTGACTATCTTACAAGGAGTGTAATATAAAGTAACAACACCACGTGACTACCTTATAAGGAGTGTAATATAAAATAACAACACCACGTGACTACCTTATAAGGAGTGTAATATAAAATAACAACACCACGTGACTACCTTATAAGGAGTGTAATATAAAATAACAACACCACGTGACTACCTTATAAGGAGTGTAATATAAAATAACAACACCACGTGACTATCTTACAAGGAGTATAATATAAAGTAACAACACCACGTGACTACCTTATAAGGAGTGTAATATAA